CAGTGGAGGAAATGCATAGGAAGGGAAAATATCCTCTTTATGTGCGTCTCCTCTTCCGTCGTATAAGGGTAGGCAACGCATCTGCAATTGCGGATGTCTATGGGCAGCGGTCGCTTCGCCATTTTGGCGATTTCAGGTGGCCACTTGCTCGTTTGCCATCTTATGTTATAAAAAAAAATAGTAACTAGTAGATAAATCATTATTCCTTCAATAAAACTAAATTTGATTAAAAATATTTGTGGTTTTCTTTCTTTTCCCCATTTACAACATATTGTCTTAAACTCTAACATCCATCAATCCAAACGTTTGCATTTATGATATTTGTAAGACTACAATTAACTTAAAAAAAACTTATATTAAAAGTTTGTTAATCAAAGTCTTGGAAAGATAGAGATTAACAATTTTATTCTAAGTTTCACGGTAAAATATGCACTTTACGCTAACATACTCAACAAATGGGGTTATGCTTTAGAGTGACACTAAGACAGCCAGAGATATCTTACCAGGCGTCATTTTCTGTAATACTTTCTTATTGCAATATTCAAAGCAACGAGCGACGAATTAATAAACAAAAACTTTAATAAATAATGGCCGAAAGAATGAAAACATAAGATAAAGCAATAACATCTTGTTCCAATAATATAACAACCAAAACAAGCCGAGGTCACGGGCCCCGTGATAATGCTTGTGTATTAATTTGCCGGTTCGTATGAGGACAGAGTGTTCTGTATAACACGACTACTTAAAATTCATCAATTGCACTAAAATGCATTTCAGTCGTCCAGATGTTTTTGTCGTGTAACATTTCTTTGAACCGAAATATGTACTAAGTACACTTGGAACCACTTTTTTGTAAAAAGTTTTTTTTTTTGTAAAAATTAAATTAAAGTGAGGGGTTAGGATTTGTGTTAGTTACACTTTTTACATAAGTATTATCTTTCTTTCATAATTGCAATAGCTAAAAGTACTACCGTGGCTAAAATTATATGAAAATATTTTTCCAGTTATGTATTTATAGAAAGCATTGTCTATTCTAATAACATAAAAAAGAGCAAAACAGTACAGACTCCGCAAGTACTTAAATAGTGAATAAATAGATAAACACAGTTATATAAGTAAATAATTCCAAGTCTAATATGACAACTCCTTGGGTGACGGTTGTGATGTGAACGCATTATAAACTGTACAGATGAGTCTATGAGATATGAAGGTTATCTCGTTCAAAAACCCAATAAATAATAAAGAAATCTTTATACATTTTTTCAAGTAACCGCCATAGATAATTATGTTTATTGAATATTAATATCGCTTTCGACGCAATTAAAAACGAGGTTGTGAGTGTTTCTAGCTCATGATAAGCGGCACTTTGTTTTGTGTTTGCCGACGCCATATTTTGAGCACAGATCAGAGAATATTATCTGGAAGACATGTGTTGAAATTTATTTCGTCACATTACGACAACAGAAAACAAAAATTACCGTGTTACGTAGACTTTATCATAATCTTTCGTAAATCAGAAGACTGGTATTGCCAACATTAATTAAAAAATAATTTTGAATAATGTTGTACAGCCCTAGATAATAATTAACCACAAGACTAGTTGAAAAGCCTTAAGAACAAACAAGAACAAGACTAGTTATGCCGACTTTAGTTATTACTACAATTCCCGTACATCCCTAGGTCTTACCAGTGCTGGCAATCCTAGGCGTCAGTTCACCAGACTAGTGTCAGCCCTAGGTGTTAACAAATCAGAAGTAGCACGTACCGCGTTAGCACATTACGTTTGCGTCGCGCCGTCAACGACAACAATGCTGCGCTGCTCGTACAATAGAGAATAACAAAGGCCACAAATCACACTGCAATGGAGGCGTGGACGTCTTATTTAGTGCTGCCTAGGGTTCAAACGTCTTACCGTTGTTATTGTATTGCCTGACTTACCTTGTTAGAACACACCTCATATTTTTATGTTCATTCGACTGTCGTATTCACCATAGTCAATGATTTTTTAAATGAAATCACGAAGACAAGCTCATTGCAATATTACTGTCTTCCAGTTCAATCTATCTATAAATTAACGGAAGAAGTTTTCCTTATTTTTTTAAAAAATAACTTTTTAAATCTCGGAGTTCTCCCTCGTGTCAGTTAAGGTCACAGTATCCTGGCATCAAGTGAAATTATTCTTCACAATTCTCCCTTTCTATACTACGCAATAGAATAAAACCGTTCAAAGCTAACAAATCATTTAAAACTATATCATTCCGAGTACCCTAACCAGATCGCGTTATATTCTGTGAAAAACGAATGAAAATAATTTAAATAAAGAATGGAAACGGCATCGGCGAGCGGCGATATATGCACACGCTGTGTTGCCAACCGAATAAAAATAAATCAGGCTTGATTTATTCTAGCAGCAATGTCGCATAGCGGCGTCGCCCATTGCCCGCCTGCAGTACCCACTACTTCTGCGACACCACCCGACTGCCAGACCAAGACTACACTCAAATGCAACAAGATGCAGGCAACGTTTTGCGTTGTAATACATATGCGTAATGCACTTTGTTATTTTAAACATCTACTTTTATAGATAAAACCTATCTGTCTCCGATTGATATATCCGATTGAAATAATCATAAATCTTTAATTGGACTTTTAAGAATAAAAAAAAAACAACAATAAAAATTATATTTCGAAAGAAAAATTGGAAAATCCGTAAATGAAATTCAGCGATTAACATTTTAATGGAAATTCAAATAGCACGCCGTCCAGTCGCCGGCCGGAAATTGAATCCCGGCTTTGTCTCAGTCACTCTGTCGTTTGACCTGTGACGCCTACACTGACACCTGTCAAAGCCTTTACAGTCATTACAGCGACCCTCACTACGTACCTGCAAAGCAAAAATGTCTGTTCACTTTAATTTTATTTCAACTAGCACGAATGCTAGACAATGTGAAAGATGCAAGGTAATGCGCGATTAACCTACGAGTGAAAATAAACGTTTAGTAATTGCACTAACGAACCGCCTCTGGTCGGTCTGGCTGGCAAAGAATTTCTCTCATATTTTCTGTCGCACAAACCCTTTTGTATAATCTAAATGTATATCTAAACCAATACTAATATTATAAAGAGGTAACTATATGTATTTTTGGATTTTTGTATGTATTGAATAATTGAAAAACTACTGGACCGATTTAAAAAAATCTTGCACCATTAAAATGCTATCTTATCACTGAGTAACATTGCTATTTTTTTAATTGTACACGAACGAAGTCTCGAACAACAGCTAGTAAAAATATAGGCTATGTTACTTAGTGATAAGGTAGCTTTAAAACAAACAACTCTTTATAATATTAGCATATTTGGATATAAGTATAAGTGACGTAGGTATAATCAACTTTATTTTCCAATCCCAGTACTATTCAAACATATATTTTTTTGGTGTCAGGGCTTGACGACAATCGACAATCGACTCTTGGCTTCCCCTCATTGCCGCAGCTGCAAGCCGGCCAATAACGTGAGTGCGGTCTTTGTAGATAACAATTAGGAAGAACCTATATCCATCACTAGGAACCTTTGTAGAAACGGACTCCCCAAATTAAAACAAAACCTATTAAAACTCCTACTACTACTATTACTACCAAGTACTATTCAAACCTATTACTTAAAATATGAAATCCAGAGTTAATAAAATAAAAAGTTAAAAATCAATTCGTGACTGCCGAGGTCGGGTCGTAACTGATCTGGCAGATAACACTTTGCAGTTCGTTGTTTAGACACTAGATACGTTATATAAATGCCCATCAAAACTGCTATCAATATTACCAATAAATTCTCCTCTATACTCTTTAGTGCCAATAGATAAAGTCCCGAGATCAGATTGTTCGTACTCTTCCTTAAGATAACTAAATATGGAGAATAATAAAAATCCTTTACGACTTGTATTTTAAAATTCCACTCCTTATTGTCTTATAGAATACCTGCTTTATTTTGGAATTCAATGTTTAGATAAAAAGTTAAAAAAAAAACATTTTTTTAATCTTACAAATTTTATAGAAATGCAAATGTTTTTTTATCAACATCTACAGGTTCTTGGTCCATACTCTTTTTTGCAGTTTATATCACTTTTTTTATTTTTTTTGGTTGCGTAATCCTAATTACATTAATGAGTTCCCTTTTTTATTATTATTAAATGTGATAATTTAGATGGATGGATGTTTGTTAGAGTTTGTACTCTAATCTACTGAACGTATGAAATTTGGCATAAATGTTGAGAATAATCTAGAACGTATAGGCTACTTACATTTGTTTTGTTTAATTTCAAGCGGACGGCGACGCGAGCGTAAGCTTGTATTTAAACAAAGACACTGCAAAATTACATCAATTGTGGATTAGTTCCGGATAGGTAAGATCCGGAAGCCAGCTGAAAATATTAATTTATGTAAAGAACAAACTATACAATAAATATAAACCTTCTCCATGCTTAGCTGGCTGACTAGTGTAATGAAGACATACTGTGAGGAGCCACGCCTACTCTAAACAGGTAATTGAGTCATTATAGATACCTCGTGCTGCATCGGCGATCCCGAGATAGAACACGATACTAACATCGGCCCTCGGGTATTTCAAAATGGACGCTAATGCCGACCAAGCTACTCATAGATTTATTTTAATATCGTAAACTTACAATTATGTATATAATGTAACTGTAGCCTGGAAGCCAGCCTTATCAGAACACTAAATAGTCGAAGTTATACGATGTCGGAATACAGTCAATAGAACATCCAAAATTTTGTTCATGTCTTACTGTGAGTCGCTAAAGGACATGACACACATATTGCTGTCTCTATATTGTCAAAGAGACTGTAAGGGATAGCAATCTGTGTAAAAGATCACCCCAATGGTGTTGTATAGTAATTCCAGCTTAGGAAATAAAATCTTAACTTACTGAAATAAAAGTACTGGCTGCAAACGTTATTACTGTCAACATGATTGTAATTAAAAAAGTAAATAATTTTAATTTGACATAAAGCGTGCACTGAAAAAGTAGAAATTTAAAACTACTAGAAATTGTTGATGTAATAAAAGTTATTATTTATACGAGGCATAAATATGGCTGAAACTAATACACGATCCGCTGTTAGATTATTCGATTTAAGCTTGGAGTACCCTGTATTCAGGGCCAACTTCTCCAATACCACAGGTTTTCCAACACCAGGACAGTATAATCCAATTTATATTCTTACCGGTGTCTTTGGTTTGCTGTTCATTTTATTACCATTATTCGTACGGAGATCTCCCAATAAAGTGTAAGAAAATTTTATCAAAAATACATGATACTAAGATATAAAATTGTTTTGAGAAATTCTTTCTGTGTGTCGTGTTTGTGTGTTCTATTGAAGGTAGGCAACGCATCTACTTTTGCGAATGTCTATGGCGCTGTCACTTCGCTACTCTAGCGAATTTAAGTAGCCGCTACCTCGTTTGCCATCTTGTAATTTAAAAACGTGTTGCGATCGACACATTAGGGAGAAAGAATAATGACTATACCATGATAAGAGCAAATTTTCCGTTATGTGTGCAAAAATTATTATTTTATAATATTGTTTACTCTATTTATTTGTGTTTTCAGTATTATAAGATGCAGTATTATGCTGTCTATATTCTGCATATGGATCTTGTAAGTTATTTATTTATTTAACATTATTATGAAATTATGATAAAAGTTTTCACAGATAAGTCAATGTTACTATTACAATAAAGGTGCAATTTGAGGGACAAGGTAAACGGCATATGCCGTTGCCTGCTGTTGCCAATGGCAACGCCATGCGCTTTTAGCTAAATCTTTCAAAGCTTATCGGAAGCATTCAACCAAAGCAGGGGAAGGTCGAATGCGACCGCCCAGGGCGCTAAAGCTAAACCCTTGCCGAGGTCTGTAATAAGTGACCTAAACATTTATAATATTTCAGCTGGGTAACCGTTTACATCGGGCAGATGAATCCAATAATGGGTCCGCGCATGCACAACACTACTGTGGCTTGGATTGCTCATGCAAAGGTTACTTGTTTCAATTTACATATAGCTGTTGCTCATTACTTCGTTCGCGTTTAATAAAAAAATATAACCTATATTACTCAGTGAAAACGTAGCTTTTTAATAATGAAAGATTTTTTTAAATCGACCCAGTAGTTTTAGAGTTATTACAATACATACAAAAATACAAATCTTTCCACTTTATAATATTAGTATATATATATACATCTCATTCTAAATTATACAAGTTTGTAAAAAAACATCAAAATCTATAACAATAACCAATGACGAAGTCAAATTACTGGTTCGAATAGTCGTTTTTTAGCGGTAACATCCATCCAAATTTACGCTTTTGTAATATTATAGTAAGGTTATAGTGTTCTGAAAATCGTTTTGTAACATGATTTTTACTATTTCAGGGAAATCCACTAAAAGCTTCCGCCTTAAAGGAGGAGATTCCCGATTATTGGTAATTAAACTAAACACTTAGTTACTTAGGGTTTTACTGTTAGTATTTACACTAGTAATCGCCTAGTGGTCATATCCTATAAACTTTCCCGTCAAAAACATAAACATATTAATTTACAACGAGATATTATCACAAGGGACTACCAAATTTAGTTAATAAATGTTATATTTCCTTTCAGGTCACAGGAGTCTGGCAATTAAGTTTTCATCTTTAATTTTAATGTAGACTTAATTACAATAAAACTCTAGAAGACACAAGACAATTTCATTAAACAATTGTAGTTTTATAACGAAGATTTGCATACAAGATATATTCGAAACTAGATATGACTGATAGAGATGTATGGAAGAGCAGCACATACTGTGCCGACCCTCCATAAGGGATAAGAGCTAGATGAAGATATATTTAAAACCTGTAGGTACAGTCGTAGAAATCCCCGCCGTTCCAGTTACATAAAAATGCCTTTTTCCTTGCAACAAAACCAAATCCACGGGATAATATTAAAAAAACAATTAGCTGCGTACCACGACCTTTTTTCGTGCAGACACATCAAAAGAGCATCCTATTGGTTATTTTTCAGGTCATCATTAATGCGTTCAAACGACTAGCTTTGACCGTGGAAAATCGCCAGATTCCCCGACCATACTTTATGTTTACGAGTGTTTATAAATCGACACATTCCTTAGTAAAGTCACTTTAAAGGAACGTTATCTTAATCCTTACAAAAAATTTGATATCTCTATATTTTTCAAACGAATGAGAATTATAATACTAGCTTTCGCGCGCGACTCTGTCCGCGTAGAGTTAAAGCCTATGTGTTTTTCCAGACTATCCTCTACATTTATACCTAATTTCATCAAAATCTGTACAGCCATTTAGGCTACAAACTCTAACATCCATCCATCGAAACTTTCACATTTATAATATTAATAGTACGAGTATAGAGTATGATTGTTACACGTGTTACAATGGAAACAATAACAATACCTACCAGGCTCACTTAACACATCCTAGTACCATTTGCTTACCCCAAAACACAAAGCAATCAAAGTATCCGAATGGAATTGTAATCGCGCGCCCCCGCAACACGGCGGACGATATCGCTGAAGATCAAAATAACATTTGTACCGAAATCATTTATCAGCGCTGATTCTGTTTCCATTTGGAGTCCCCGCGCCGCCCCTAGCCCTGGCTTGTTAGCTCGCAGAATATAAGGCCACTACCTCCTTACACATGATATAGCGATTTCTCTCCCATCAATAAATCAACGTTTTTATTTATAGATTATTTTTTATTATTCAATTACTTAATTCACCGCCAGTAAATGTCTAGATATCTGTTAATTCGAGTATATTTTCAGTAAAAATTTAACAGAAATAAAAAATTAAATCTTTTTCTAGATACTAGTGCCAGTTTACATTAAAGGACAAATTAACCCCGAGGTTTATGTGATAATATAAGACAATCCTCAGGTTATGTTTATTTATATGAACCACAAACATGTCCAAAAGTGATGGCTGATGATGGCAGAATAAAAATAAAACTGGAATAAAGTCCGTGTAAATAATAAAATCGCTATCGCTTATGATTGAGTTGCAGCCTCACCCCATCGGACGGCAGACTAATGTGTTCCCGGGGAATAGCGTCTTTGTGGGGAGATCGTCATTAATACTTGTTGGTGACGACGTTTACATTAACATTTTATACTTGTATTAAACCTCGACGATTGTTATGAATACACAAACAGATTTAAATGATGCACACAATTTTTTATGTCAAAAAAAGCACGAGTCGAATATTGAATCAAATGAGTTTAAAGTTTTTGATTTTCGTTATGTTATTACAGTTTTAAAGTTTTGTAAATGACATTAAAAAAATTAAGCATCAGTATTAAAAGTAGTTGCTTCAGTTCAAAAACATGTTTAAAATATTTTTGTAATTCCATTAAAATAATAAATTCAAAAACTTCTGATTGTAAACGATTTTTTGTAGGTATAAATACGTAAATTGTATAGTGACTTTATCATCAGCAGAAAAATAAAACACGAAGTTGCAATCAACTATCGCAGTTCCCGAAATCCCGAAAATCCCGATTGCAACCGGTCATCCCCGTAACTCAATTGACGCGGCTCTTTGCCGATCTATTTTTTTCTGCCCCACAGCCAAATTCGCGCCATATTGCGACGCTCCCCATCTAAATGATAATTCGAGGGCCCTTCTTACAATAAAAATTATTGCGGCCAGTTTATTTTATTACACTTTGTATTGTATTCAAATACCCGCAAAAAGGCAACACTTGTTTTACATTTAACAAATAGTGTATTATAGTAAAACAAACCTTATTTCCAGTTCACAGGATACGTAAGATTTTTTAGGTTGCACGTGTTTTTATTACACCTTTTTCGATCGGTTGTTTTCTTATAGCTAGTGATTTCCAAGTCTTTACCCCGGCCAATTCTTTTTCCGATTACGGACAGAGGTTGGCAAATCCTTGGTGAATCTTACATTTTCTAAGGATTTACATGTTTACATTTACACTATGCTTCAACTGTTTGGACACGAATAAGTTGAATCAGCCCTTCTATTACTTATACTTATATTGGAAATCTAAAACATTCCGATGTAACTTCCTATACTAATCCGACAATTTTCAACCATATTTTCCTCATACATTAGTCCTATATTGCAATGCTAATTTTTTTACGCTGTAACCACTAGTCTATTTATTATTTGAACGTGGCTGTTGTCGTGTCGGGCACGAGCGTCGTTTGCTCAGTGGTTTAAGCACTTGACTTGTAATCTACATGTCTTGGGTTCGAATACCGCCATGTATTAATGTGATTTACGATTTTTCGCATTTTCATATGTACATAATTTACCCGACGTTCTTACGGTGATGGAAAAAATCGTGAGGAAACCGGCACATATCGGCGAAGAAATTCAAATGTGTGAAGTCAACCACCCCGCAGTGGGTCAGCGTAGTTGACTATAACCTAGTCACCCCTAACTTAGTATAGGCACCAAACCCCTCAGTGGGGACATAACAACATAGGTTTTCTCCAATGCCTTCCATAGAATTAGGTCTGGTTTCAACGTCTATATAAATCTTAAATCATAACGTCAAACGATTCAAATAAATCAATACGACATCGAGCGATGACGTGTTATTTTGCCGGCTTTGTTATTATGCTCATTTGGCATTTACACAAGGCGCTGTAATAGTCATCAACCGCAAGACAAAGCTAGCCACCCCATCGCTATCTCCCTTTCAGATCGCAATCAGTGCCGCCATGTTTGACGCCATTATGAATCAAATTCCCGCCTTTTTACATTTTTCCCATTCGCTAGGCACAAGCGTCAGATCTCACAGCCGATAACTTCTTTATTATCCTGGATGATTTTTTAATCTACGTTCGCACTCGGGTTTCACATTAGCGATTGCATTGTGTGCTGTATTCAAATAGAAATTATATTTTTTTCAAAGAACAATTCGACTAGAGTACCTGAAGTTCATAGAAACATAATTAACCCTAATCTCTTTTTAATTCTAACATAGCTAACAATGCAGGATTGTTTCGATTCCTATACGGTCAATGTTTAAACGAACATTATCAAGTAACAGGCTATAAGGTAGATAATTAGTATAAGATAACCCTAATCGTGAGATCCATTCGGTTTAATTATACTACGGCGTTGCTCATTGCTCGAGTAGCATCGAGAAGGGGGAGCCCCCCCTGCTCCAGAGAAACATAAAATAAACTTAAATAAATGTAAAAATTACTTCGACAAACTAACCTATCAACAATCCAACACAGATAATTTAGAAACGGCTAACAGCTTCATAAAAATGCGGCACATATGTAAGCACAAGCATAATCTTTGGAAAAAATAGCTACTTACCCCTCCCCTTGATCTTTGGCTAACCCCCCCTTGATTATCCGTTCGCGACACCCCATGTATGTACTCTGTCACACAAACATTTTTAAGACAGTCGCATGTTTATTCGAAAATAACTACCTTGTAGATAATTTTAAACCAAAATAACTCTGTCTGAAAACTTATGTAACACTGAATCCGCAATCCGAGGAGAAAATTGGTAAAAAAAGAAAACACAAGAATCGCGACGCAAGTTTCCGAAGTTAGTCCCTAAGTAGATTTTCCAATTTGAAACTCGTTACAATAGATGGCGGGTCTACTTCGCTCTTTTTCACTTGAACTCTGCACACGATTTATCGGCAAACTTCTACCGCGACTGGAGAATGTAAAATGTCGTTATTTATTGAGTATTCGCAATAGTTTTTTAATTAATAGAATATCGATGATGCGTTAAACTTTTAAAATTATTATAAATATTGACACAAACTTGGATTATCGGCTTCTTACATCATCGAGTTGAATGGCTACCGGCTTTAGGCTAGGACGAGGTGGGTCAACCGCTCTGGGCGCCTGACAAAAGCAACCACAGACGACATAGATGGGCGCCTTCTACGTATGGATTTGTATTGCAATTAAGGGGCGCCGTTGATATTTCGCCCAGGCCGTCGGTAATGCTAAAACCGGACTTGCTGAACTGCTTCTTCCTAACACTTCATTCATTTGATCGGGTTTTTCATACATGTTTATGGAAATTAGTTTAAAGGACTTATAAGCATCGTTTAATTACATTTGTTTACTTTGATTTTATTTTATGTCAATCTTGATTTTGTAACATTAATATCGACTTTGCAGTGTAAACACGTTGCCAAGTTAATTATTTGAGCAGCACTAGCGCTGTAATGGCGTCACTTCCGGTGCGGCCGCCATTAATGGCCATTTCCTGTTAACTTCCTGTCGCCGCTAGCGCCACGCTGCGGGCCTTTCAAGTGACTTGCGACATCATATTTATTTTAAAATGAAAATTCATATCCTTTTCTTGTTACATAACTAAGGTGCGAAAACTTCACTTTTGGTACTGACATAATTCGCAGTAGAAACAATAAGTTTACATATGGCATATATTATTATTGATCTATTAATAATTTTTGTATAATTTTACGTATAAAATCATAAACACGAAAACATTTTTAAGTATAACAATTTACTGAACAAATAACTCGAATACAGCGACACTAAATTAAAAGCCTGTACAAATTAACAAAGACTGTGTTATTTGAATTAACCTTTCAATACACTTATTATTTATGTTTTTATTGTCATTATGAATATGTTATAATTTTTTGTCTCCATTCGACACCACCTTAAGTGAGTTCCGGGCGACTTCCTGACACCCTGACTTAATGGTCCGCACTACAATGCCATAGCAAACAGTACTAAGTGGCGGAAGCAACCACTAAGTGACGAATGCCCTCAACAAGGTAACATAATATTTGATAAATCGAATAAAAGCCAAATTAACAGACATCACTTGCAAGACAAAATACAATTAAAAAAAATAAAGATATAACGTAAATGATATTTCAAGCAATTGAATGAACAAACCTTAGCGATTAATTAACACTAAAAAATGTTATTCTTAAGTTTATTTAATTAAATTGGTCCCGGGAAGATGATGGCATAGCATGGTCCTATGTTGCTATACATCTATGGAATATCAGGTTACGTCCTATATTATGTGGTAAATTCCTGAGGGTTCCAGTGAGTTTCATGGAATTCCCGGAACCCTCGCATGAGGCTGTCCACCGAGGATTTTAGTGGGTTAAACCCCACGTCTTCTCCCCAGAAGGTAGGGTATCTTTTGAAGATTTTCCTACAATACCAAAAAAAAAAGGTTTATTCAATTCAGTAATATACAGTTTTAAAGCAGTTTGTTATAATTTAAACATTCAATAATAAAAATGTGAGAAGCGAGCTACGAGCGGTTCAATTTCGCGCTGCACAGCTCGCAGCGCAGCGGAATTTTAAACAGATATTCCGATATTTTTTTACTATATTAACACGCTTGTTTGGTCATAATTTGTGACGTTATTCATGTATTGCTTGCCTCAGAACTCTAAGAGCGGCGATATTTAAAAAGATGCATCGTTAAGTTTTTATCTATTCTAAAATAAGTTATAGTGTCTAAAGATGTCTACCCGTAAAGTGTTTCTTTCGGTCGGGGTCCAGATTAAAGTTTGCGTTTTTTGCAGAAGAACCATGGGGTACTCTTTCTTAAACACAAAATATATTTAACAAATGTTATCCCAAAATGGAATTTCTAAATCTCTTCTTACGCAAGTTTAAGTAAATATTTATTTTCACTAAACTCATTGTAATTATGTTATTTAGTTGATATGCAATATCATAATAATACACTTAAAACTATGTAAAATTTGCCGCAACTGAAAATTAGTCAATGAGCTTTGAATGATAATTGTATCAAATTGAAAAACAATTATGTTCTAGTGCACGCGAGCACCGCTGTATATTTTTACCACCTAATTATTACCGATTGAAAATATAAATGCGCAGTAAGCGATGCAACGACAGCCCTCATTATCGCGCTCCCAGTTTCAACTCAATGATGTTAAATGAGCCAAACCACAAAATGCGAATATGGCGCTGGCCGCTTCACCATTATATTGATTTCGACGCCATTAAAACGAACCGGAAATTAAAAAGAAATAAAAACATATTGCCTTCCCGCGTGCACCGAACTTCACCCAATTTGTACATGTTCCGTTTTCGAACGACGCCGCCATTTTCGACAAAACAGAAACGTCACAATTGACGTTTGCACTTTTTAAATTCTATGCTCTATGGAAGTGAGGTTATAGTTCAAATCATATTGAAACTTTTTGGTGATAACGCTTGACATTTCTCGTAATATAGGGTAGGTAGATTTTATTTGGCGTGCCATTATTGTCAGCATGATATGATTATTATATTATTGGGCGATAAACGGGCATAAAAAAGACATATCGCGTCGGGGCAATCATCTCGAGCGAGGATTACGATGTTATTACACTGTTTCGTGTGGATTTATCGGAACGAGCCGCTCTAATTAGGTTTGTGAAGCGTACACAGGGAGTCCATTAATCATCGGCTTAGAAATTAGACGCCGGCATTAGTTGCCAGTTGCCACTATATTACATTAAAATATTATTACATTACTTTTATATTAGTCATAAAATGAAAGGAGTTGTGTTTATTATTTTCTTTACTAAATAGGTACAAGATTTATCTATTATTATTAAATCTGATAATTTAATTTTAAAAATACTATTCCCTAATAAAGATTTACGATCTTTTGGGTTTCTCAGAGTTTACTTGAATTTGATCAAAAATATACTACTACCTAACCCATATTACTGAAATTATAGTTTATGACCCTTACATATTTTCCTTTTGACTGGAGTTTTTCAAGTCGATATCTCGCATGTCGTATATCACATGTGTGATGCCATGCTACAACACAATTCAATATCGTCACGTAATATTCTGATACAATTTTCGAGAATGTTTTCTTTTTATTGGAGCAATAATAGTTCAGTAACTTTAACCTTTATATGACGATTGAGTTTTAAAATTGTTTGCTCACCAACACGCACTTTACCATCTTGATGAGTGTTGATGAACGATAAAGTAAGGTATACTTAAATCAATTGTTATTGATCTGCTAATAATAATGTGTAATAATTGATTTTAATTAAATATATTTAACTCTTTATATACAGAGCAATTTGCTTCAGCTTAACAAATGACTTTTCCACCGGTAAAAGGATCGTCCTCCAATAAATTGGCGGCAAAATGTGACAGCCTGGAGTACTACATGAAAAACACATTAGACAGCGTAATGGCATTAATGGACGACAAATATTTGCATTGCCACCAATTGATAACGCTCGAGTGCTGAGCCCGGCTTTAGATACAAAAGTTATTTATTGTGCGCCTTTTTCCATTAAGTGCTTAACTTTAATAGAAAATTTGTAATTATGATGTCACCATAGTGAGGCTCGACGATGTTGGTCACAATGGTTGCGGTAACAAAACTTACACCCTAAACGAAGACAAGTAGAATACAATATTAGTAAATAACTTGGTAATTTTAAGTGTTGAGTACATAGAGATTAGGATGATATCATAACTTACTTATGAGGCTTAATTTGAGAAGAATATAGTCACACAAATTTTTAACGAGTGGTGACATTTTGTTTATTTGATAATGAACCTTTTATTTCCCGACAATTCTAAAAAAAAAAGTCGGCTACTGCCATCTAGTGTTCAGTAGCAAATACTGAAAATCTTTGCCGTGAAACTACGTCCTACTAGATGTCGCTGTTTTCAACTTTAATACGTTGTTTAAAAATGTCAAATTATTGCCAATAGATGGCGCTTGAGCCAACTAATGTTAAGTGCAACGACTCGTTGACAGCTACGTTCAGACTTGTTTGACAAGTGTTCGTTTTTTACCAGATGCATGCAAACGTAGCGCGGTTGAAGTTGCTTGTGTTTTATTTTGTTAAATATTTGCGTCAAACGTGTTTTACACCTGTGTCAATTTATCAAAGACATTTAATTTGAAATATTGTTATGGTTAAAAATTCTATACTGTGAGTTCGCTTCTTTGGTGTTATTGTTTGGGCGAATTATGTGAAAAGTAATCTAAGTTTTTGGACGTATTGAGGTGTGAAGTGTGACAAAATACTTTCTCGTATTATCAATTTCGCGCTACTCGAAAAGCGAATTCCCCGAAAATGAGTTAAACAAACTTTTATTTAACTTAAATATTTAGTTTATGGATTATTACAACTTGGACTTTTGTGTATTTTACTATATAAAATGACGACGGACAGATTTCATAAGTAAGTACAGAATTTAATTTAAGGATACTTAAACAATGTCTGCCTGCTTTACAAATAGATAAGATTATAACAATGATTGTATATCAATGAAATGATTTATTTCGTGTCAATTGTTGACAAGAGAAATTAATATGTTTATATCTATAATAGTAAACAAATTCGCAGACTATCTCCAAAGCAAATATTTGCGTCAACGCACACACTAAGAAATAGTAACAATTTCATCACCAATAATAACGATAATTATTCATGGTGTCTCAATATCAATGAACAAAAGTTATTCAATATATACTGTGTCTGATACAATTTTGTAAACAATGTCTACCTCGAAAGATAAAATTTCTATTGTCGAATACCTTTAAAATGAGAACTTTCATATGTTTTACTTAGTATTTTTTGTTTGTATACTGTACTAAATTTTGATAAATTTATCTACAATCACTATGAACAAAAAATACGTGAGAATTTTTTCCGTCTAAAATGAGCAAGCTATTGAAGAGTTTTTTACGCGTACAATACAATAAGGTGTCAGTGCTCCGATATATTGTACTCGTATATTGTATTAATGTTAAAACAATCAGTGTAACCCTGAGCTGATCTGAACCTGGTTCAATTCAATGTTACGATTCTCGGAAGCGGCAGGAGACACGCTCGGACGATGTCGGTTCAACGTACTGACATGACGTGACGTACCCGAATGTGTTAACATATTTAACTGATTTCCATTGTTGAAATTTACATGTAAGAAATACCTTATCAATATCAGCTGTCCAACCGGGACATCTTAGCCATTTTTTTCCTGTGTAAGTAATTCCTTTCCAACCGAATTATTAAGTAATCAAGATTAATGTTTAGTTTTATTTAGATGGCTCATACTGCCGATTTTACTTGAAAGTAGTATCAGTGGTGGAGAAATTGAGAAGCAAAATGTTAGCGTGGTATGGACATGTTATGCAACAAGACGATGGAGAAATAAACCAGAAAGTGTTAAGATCTAATGTGGATGGCTACAAAAGACCGAAGGAAGTATGGATGGATTGTGTGAAAGATGCTTAAGAAAAGAGTGGATTCAGATATGACGGCAGATAGAGAAATATGGAAGAGCAGCACATACTGTGCCGACCCTCCGTACTACATGAAGTCTTATCTAGTTTTATGCCTGCAAATATCGTTGTTAACAACTGAGTCTATAAAAACAAAACAATCTCTTACAACAGGAAAGGTAAAAATAGGTGAGCTAGCCTTTAGAAATGCGAGACGATTTTCACAGACGTCCGGACTAACCTGTCTTTGGCAACTTGATATGTGTACGACTGTTTTGGTTTGGTGAAAACCCGCAACTTGTCGATGTAAAACTAAGTCAATGGTTTCTATTTAACTTTGACAAATAAGTTATGTCTTTAGTAGTTTTGTAATAGATGTGAAAATTGCGATGATCTTGTAAAACAAAAAAAAATTTCAAAGAATCAGTCAGAATCAGTTTTATAAAATCTTTTTATAGAAATTATATACAAGAAAATTATAGAGTCTTTGAACTACACTAGGTAAATTTTAGTAAGCGCAAAATTAGGTAAACCTACATTGAGATGCAATAGCATTTTTCTGCGCCGTTATCAGAAGACTGTCGATATCGTGATTGACGATATTCGTAAATCTTACTAATATTATAAATGCGAAAGTTTAGATGGATGGATGGATAGATGCATGCATGGATGGATGTTTATTAGCGTTTGTAGCCTAAACGGTTGAACGGATCTCCATGAAATTTGACATAGATTTAGAGCATAGTCGGGAAAAACACATAGTAGTCGGAAGAACTTTTTATACCGGAAATAGTTACGGTTCCCGTGGTATTCATTAATTTAGTTTTTTTATGTTTACTCGATCATTCTGCCACGGTTCAACATATCTTATTGAAATTTGGCACAGATATAAAACAAATTCTGGAGTACAAATTGGATAAACTTCATCCCCGAGAAATGTCCGGTTCCCGAGGGATACGTAGCTATTTGTAATTTATATAGTTAGTATGTTTTCTTATACTACGCAGACGAAGTTGCGGGCAACAGCTCTTTCATAATAATCTTCTCTTGTTTAGGATGTCGATATTCACAAGACAAAGTAACGATAGTTCTCCTTACCAATTTAATTTATAAACTGGATCGTATCGAAGTCGTAACCATTACATCGCGATGTATTTGATGTGCGTCACTTAATGCACAATTTAACATGCAATTAAATTATAAAGTTAAACAGCCAGTAATTACATGAATAACTTTATCTTTATATCAATTGAAAAATTGATTACGATAGGTATTTCGAGTAATTTCAGTGACGTCATCGTAGTAGAGTCAGTGATAACGACTACAAGTATAACTTCGTAATTAACTTTTAATTTTCACTGTTTTCTTATAAAAATCGGATGTAAAGGAGATTTGGACGAAGTAACGGCCCGAGCCGAGGCTCCTGTAGGAAGCCATCGAGCTTAGGCTGAGCGCCATACGCGTTCGGCCACCTCAAGCCCGGTGGAGCTGTGAGCCTCTTCAAGGCAGTGACAAAACAGTCACAAAAAAAAGTGATATTTGGAAATGAGGATTCTTCCTCCTATTCCTTCTGGAAGCAGACAGAAGTAGTTCTTTTTTAATATGTCCTTTCCTGTCTATTATTATATGCCTGTTTTATGATTAAAGTTATAGAACATTACGTAAACTTATTCCTCGTTTAGCGCTTCGAACAAAAACGTTGGATCCGGGTCCATAATATTGCAATATACCACTAAAATTGTACAAATAATTTGTCGCCACAATACCAGCATATCAAGCCCGCACCTTCACGCTCGCCTGGGCCAGGTAAAGAGGGTAAAAATGTACGTTACGTAACGTTGCAATTAAACCTTTACGGCCGTTGGTTTAGAAACTAAATTCCGATTGGCGTGAAATCGTTATCGATTGTATGCACTAACATTGCCAGGTGTCAAGTTACCAGTTGCTAGGCAATGGTTGCGATGCTGGCAACACTAATTAGGCTGCACAACAATGGCTTCATAAAGCTAGATAAAACTACAATATACTCACGTCCGTAACACAGAAGGGTAGGCATAGACCACGAACTTCCATTCCTCGCGGTTCTGACTCATAGTTATGTGTATAAAAACTGTTATTTTATAATAGTTTTTAGACATTTCTGTGCGTAAACGAATAGCAAAAGTTAATGCCTCTTTAATTATTTTGACGCTAAAAAGATATCTAATTGATTCAAAATAGGAAAGATTAATTTTATCATTTCCACGATCTTATCATAAAATCAAATGACCCAGGCCTAGCCGATAAGATAACAATCTTGTTAAAAGATTTATTTTATGACAAATATAACAATTGAACTACATTGAAAAGTCGCATGACGTCACAATGAATACAACTAATAAATTTAAAAAAAAAAATCATTTTTACCTTTGAGACTATTGGATATAGTAATACATAGTTTATTAATTGAAATAGATTGATTTTGCAGTGACGGTTACAGTCGCTTTACTGTTAAGTCGGATGTTATTCTCCAAACATAACAAGCTCTGTGTAAACAATTACATTATTTACAATCAAAACCTCATACAAATACATATTGTAAAAGGGAGATACTTGAGAAACTGACGGGCAAATACGGACAGTGGAATTCTACACTAAAATCCAAACACCGTTGAAAAGTACATTAAACCAATGCAATTGCTTTTAGATGGTGTTAAAATATGCTTCATAGTTTCTATTTGTTAAGTTAATTGTTGCTTAAAAATACAATAGGCTCTAAAACGCATTGTATTATTTCCTAAAACAATACGAAACAATTTCATCGTGTAACGCTAATTCTACAACGTAGGTAATTCCTATCGCCACTTTATCTAAATAGATAAGTGAAATTTTTGTTGTACACCGCCTTAGATAAATAACGTCCGTATTTAGCAAAAATAAAGTACTAATAATACTTTAAATACATAATAATCGATTCTTTATAAGGAAGTTTGAGAGTAGCCCCCGTAGTAGAGAAGGTAAGGAGTAAAAGGTTAGCATGGTATGGGCATGTTATGGGGAGGGATGAATCTCATGTTACAAGGAGAACGTTAGTTATGAGTGTGGAAGGGTACATCGGTAGAGGTAGACCTAGAAAGAGATGGATGGATTGTGTAAAGGTGACATGATCAAAAATGGAGTGATGACTGAGATGACGTATGATAGAGTTATATGGAGGACAAAAACCTGTTGCGCCGACCCTACAGGAGTAGGATAATGAGATGATGATGATAAGGATCCAAAGATTATTTAAAACTAGCTGTTCCCGTGCGGTTTTATCCGCATGAAATTATGAAAGTTTCATTTTATTGTTTACATTTCTCAAATTATCAATAGCAAATATCAAACTCACATGACTGACGTTGGCAATCTTGTTTCCTTAATGTTGGCACCACCTTATGGTCTCTTCCTACATTAGGGTTTTTATCCAAAACATTTACCCCCTTAAATGAATGGCGCGAAAATTCATAGCCTAAAGCGTAACGTAAGTGTAGGGCTTTTTATAAAAAAAAGGATTATTAAAATATATGCTGTGATTGCTGACATCTTAGGTAATAAAGAAGTGTGTGTTTACGCTTTATTATAATAGTATAGTTATAAGTATATAGTATAGATATTTTATTGGATAAAGACCAAAAGATCGCTCACTAAATAGTCGCTTACATTTGCGATTTCCTTAAGGCCTGTTTTTAAGCTACTATTAGTCAAACATTTTACAACCTTGTGACGTATTTGATAACAGGAGTACAATAAACTTTATTGTGATATTCTATTGTCTTTTACGTCTATTTCCTTGATAAAGCGCTATCGTTAAATAGAATAAGTGATCAACAATTATGTTCCCATTAGACAACTTTCGATTTTTGCCATTGCTGATCGAAAGGTCAAAAATGTATGGAACTGACAATAACATTTGATAAGTCACGTACTTGTCACGAATTCATCTTTATCTATACTATTATAATAAAGTGTAAACACACGCATCTTTGTTGCCTAAGATGCCAGCACCTACAGTATTTTTTTGAATAATTCTTTTTTCAATAAAAAGCCCTACACTTACGTCACACTATAGGCTATATATTTCACGCCATTAAACTTAAAGTAAAATATTTTGGATAAAAACCCTAATGTGGGAAAGAGACCATAAGTTGCTGCCAACATCAAGGAAGCAAGGTTGTCATCATGTCATGTCATTTTGACATTTGTAATTGATGATTTGACAAATGTAAACAATGAAATAAAATTTTCATAATTTCATGCGATTGAAGTCGCACGGGAACAGCTAGTTCCTATATAAATTGACCTCATTTTATCGATTCTACAAGCGACATCGCTAATCGAAAGACACTTTGTCTAGAGGGGCAGTTGTTTCTTGAACTGCGATAAAATAGTCACAAGAAATACCTTACAATTTGTTTTAATAATACTAACGTTGACTCCTGGAACTCGTGCAGAATTACGAGCAAACCTTTAACTAAACTATCGCATAACTGTTGTGCGATTGTCGATTGTTCCTAGCCAATTTAACTGTTTAGTTGCACAATTAAATCGAGTAGTATGCGCACCTCCATACAAGCTTAAAGGAATCAAAGCGTGACTAAACAGTTGTGCGATAGTTTAGTCAAAGGTGTTCACGCGCTCTTAAATAGTTTTACTAAAAAGTACTAACGAAAACTTATGCAAAATTACGCACTTTAACTGTCGACTTGAAAAAAAACAACAGCTAAGGAACTATACCTAAATGCAGTATTAACATGGGCGATGCTAGCCGATGCTAGATAATCGCAGAGAAACATCTAGAAGAGATGGAAATCAGCACCATTGGTAAAATATTATGTAACTATAGATTTGATATGGTCTCACTTTTGCTATGACCTGCAGTATAGCAATAACATTGTTACTAGACACAAATTAGAGCAGTTCACACGTGCGCCGTAACCGCGCCAAGTGAAAGTCATTTAGATTAACTGTTTTTTTTTATTGTATTCCACCTTGACGTTCGTTATTTTTGATAACGTAAATTTTATCTTTTTATTTTGGAATCGAATGATAGTTTTTTCTAGAAATACCAGAACGTAAACGATGAATTCTCATTATATTAATAGTAAATGGGTTTTAGTGAATTTTATGAGCTAAGTTTGGACTTAGAATTGGTCTTATTGTTGATTTTGTTTCGTTAATTACGAGTATGTTTTGGTTCTTATTTTTATGTGATTGCAGTTTCTCGGTAAAAAATATTTATTATCTATGTTTCATAATGTGTGCCATTCTGTCAATTGTGTAGGGTAGTTAGTAATTTGTTAGGAATTATAATCAACATCTCACTAACAGTATTTAGCTGTTTATCTTAAAAAATGGATTTTTATAAAACAGGTCGGAGTATATAGGTGATGCAAATGTACGTATTATGTGAGTGTACATTAAATTAGACTGACTATATTATTATAAATGGCAATTCGCAGGGCAGCCAAAGACGGTCTACTGGACGTGCTGCGCGAGGCGACACGAAAAGAGTGCAACAATAAGGACGAGTCTGGAATGACACCTACTCTTTGGGCAGCGTTCGAAGGTCATATCTCTGCTCTGCGGTTGCTCTGTGGCAGAGGGTACGTACAGATACCTACAGAGTTTCCATAAGTGAGTTAAAGAAGTAATTAATATGTCGACAGTGCAGTACTATGTGAAAAGATCTTGGTATAATCTCCCTTTTCTCATTTGCAACTAAATTTGAATAATAAAGTGACTTATCAAATAATTAGTTATGTGTAGACAATCTCATATCTCACCGTCACTTTCACGCATTCTCGCGATAACTAAACTAAGCTATTTACAATACACGCGCTGAGTGTTGCTTGTCACTAATCGCATGTTATGAGCCGTTTATCTACGCAATGTCCACTTTCTTAGACCAGTCGCATGTTGGATATATCATAACAAAAAATTAACACAATGCAAACCTCTACTAACTATCATTAGATTATTAGAATGAAGACCTTATTTGGATGAAACGGACCTACCAAATACTAAATAGAAATATCGAATATCCGAAGAAAATAGTGAAATCTTTTAAGAGATCTCGGAAAAAATTTAATAGGTTATGTAAGAGTTACAACTCTTCTTCGACTGGTATGTTAGTGGATATACAATATTTGAAATTTATAGTATAGCGGTTTGTGTGGCAAAGTCCTTATAGCTCGATTTCACTTTCATCGCAATGAATTAACCGCTGTTTACGCTGAATTAACTCATTAACCTGCCGCGTGGGGTCATGTGGCTCGTTCACAACCAACACTTTCTTTAGCTTCAAGTCTTTTGCTACGTGATGCAATTTCTCATGACTACATAGTCTAGGAGTTACTGCTGTAGAGTTATCAGTGTCGGTGTACTTTTATAATTCATGATTATTTTGCAATTACATTTTTTATAACATAAGGTGGCAAACGAGCAAGCGGCCACCTCAATCCGCCAAAATGGCGAAGAGAGCGCTGCCCATAGACATCCGCAATTTCAGATGCGTTGCCTACCCTTATCCGACGGAGGAGGAGACGTACACAAAGAGGATATTTCCCCTTCCTATTCATATCCTCCACCGTCAAATCCACTTCCTCTTACCATCCTCTTCTTATAAGAAAAGGGTGGTAAAGAGAAAGGGACTAAAGTACAATAGAAAAATGTTACTAAACTATCTTGATCAGTTGTTTAATATTTTGAGAGTGAAATTAATAATACCGTTGTGCCTGAGAAAAATTGCGAAACCGATTCAGAGCATTGTGAATTATCTATCAATACTAGACCCATACCAATTTAAAAAATACACAATAATTATATTGTATATCCTGTTCGTCTGTTAATTGTAGCATAAATTAAATTCCAGTGGTGAACCAGACAAAGCGGATTATTTCGGTAACACAGCACTCCATCTAGCGGCGGCGCGCGGTCATAAGGAGTGTGTGACATTCCTCGTTAACTTCGGTGCTAACCCATACGCGGTAGATGTGGACGGCCACACCGCGCAGGAGCTGGCCGCCATCAACAACCGGGAGGATATCCTGCGCCTCCTCGATCAGGCCACCGCCAAGCTAGAGAACACTGACAAGTGAGTTACGATATTCTAGAAGTCACAATAGGAAAAGTACCCTATAAAATTCATATGACTTGCGTCTTAAGCCTTTAAATTGCTTTGGCTTTAATATAACTAATATTATAAATGTGAAAGTTTAGATAGTTGGATGTTTGTTAGAGTTTATAGCCTAAACTGCTCAACGGATCTTGATGATATTTGGCATAGATGTAGAGGATAGTCTGAAAGAACAAGTAGGCTACTTTCTCTTGGTTTTTTAATTACACGCGTAGGGAGTCGCGGGCAAAGTCTAGTAATAATACATTTACAAATACAATATAAGAAAATAGCAACTTCTAGATGACTAAAATTAGACTGAGTAGACAAAAAAGCAAGTGTCATATATTTTTACAGGAAGAAAGCAAAATCATTAAAAGAGAAGGCTCGAAAAGACCATGAGAAAATGCAAAAGCAATACGCGAAAAGACAGAGCAAAGCAGAAGTTATAGCGGAGAAGGAATTGAAGAAACTGACAAAAGACTGGGATCAGGGTTACACTGAGGAGGTGTCGACGATGCCGCACCGCCCCAGCAACGTGCTCATGGCGCTCAAACAGAGGATGATCCGGTCTACTAGTCAAGGTAAGCGGAACTAACTAACTAACACTGGAAACAGCAGGTATAAGTATAGACTAGAACTAGCTATTCACTAGTCAAGGTCAACTCAAGTCTGGAAACAAAGGTCTACTAGTCAAGGTAAGCGGACTAACACTGGAAGCAGCAGGTGAGAAAATAGACTGGAATTAGCTATTCACTAGTTAAAAGTCAACTCAAGTTTGGAAACAAAGGTCTACTAGTCAAGGTAAGCGGTCTAACACTGGAAGCAGCATGTGAGAAAAATAGACTGGAATTAGCTATTTACTAGTCAACAGTCAACTCAAGTCTGCAAACAAAGGTCTACTAGTCAAGGTAAGTGGACTAACACTGGAAGTAGCAGGTGAGAAAATAGACTGGAATTAGTTATTCACTAGTCAAAAGTCAACTCAAGTCTGGAAACAAAGGTCTGCTAGTCAAGGTAAGCGGAGTAACACTAGAAACAGCAGGTAAAAGTATAGACTGGAACTAGCTATTCACTAGTCAAAGTCAACTTAAGTCTGAAAACCAAGGTCTACTAGTCAAATTACTGTCAGTAGTGGTCTAGAGATCACCTAGTCAAGGCAAGAGTACAAAAACTATGACCAGCAATTCACTAATAATGGTATAATGACATAGATTGTAAGAGATAAGATATCCGAAATGATAGCATTGATAGAATCGTTCATAGTTTCCATCAATCTTGCTGTTAACGGAAGTTTTACAAGTTAGTTTATCAAATCATAGTGTGTATTTTTTATCTAAAACGCCTTTCGGTTGTTTTATATTTTGTTACGTAAATATGTTCTTCAAAATATATGCGTGCTAGAGAAATTTAATGACTTATATTTAATTTTATACAAGAAATACTGCTTTCTTTTTTTATTATATTTCATAATTAAGGGAATTTTCCGAATACCAAAACCATAACTCAGCTGAACACGCGTTTTACGGTTTTATTTGGCTTACTAGTCTATACTCCATACTAATATTACAAACAGGAAAGATTTGTATTTTTGTATGTATGTAATAACTCAAAAACTACTGGGCCGATTTCAAAAATTCTTTTACCATTAAAAAGCTACGTTATCAGTAAGCAATGTATTCTATATTTCTTATCATTTTTTTATTTCACGCGGGCGTAGTCTCGAGCAACAGCTAGTGATTAGTGCTAGTGATTGAAACATAATAGAACTATTTTAGTGTAATGAATTCAATATTAAAATATTTGTATTTACAGGTAACTTGCTGTCGGAGGAGCAGCCGCGGCCGACGTACAGC